CTTATGGCTGGATCCCGTTCATCCCTGGCAAGGTGCCGATGAATTCAGGGAGGAATCTGGTTCATTTTGTCCAGCATAAGACAGAGACATCACAAGGCACGGACACAGCTACTTTGCAGCCCAGTCCTGATCTCACAGCGTCGCTGCACTGATTTCAGCAGCAGAGAAATGAAATCAGCTCTGAAACAACAGCAGAGCAATGAAAGCAGATTCAGACCTGTGCTGAATCTGATTCAGATCCACACTTGTGCAACACATGTTGGGCTGACTTAGCTCGAGACATTTCTTAAGAATTATATCCTTCGGTACAAGCTGTATTCAAAATGCTGGAGAAAGCCAGTCATTCCCTTCAAGAGCAGGAGCAGGAAGAACAGGGAATGATGTTAATTCTCAAAAGCAAATTGAAAAAAAAAATATTTGGAGAGTCAATGAGGCAACAAGACAGGTCAGCCCAGATGGTAAGAGAAGCTGGAAAGAGGGCAGCGAGCACGGGCTGGGGACGCAGCTGGGGCTTGGAGGATTACGAAGCAGAGGGAGAGGAGCACAGGGAGTTCAAGGGGTCCGGGTCAGAGGGACACGTTAAGTGGATTTAAGGGAATAGAGCTGATGCAAGGCCCACACTTTGGGCTTGGAGGAAGGTCTGATTCATACCAACGCCGAGTCATATCTCAGGTCAGCCTAAGGGCTCGGAGAGCTGGCTGACAAGGAGGGCTGCTGGTGGCAGGGCAAGCCAGAGGCTGCCCAGCACCAATCCTGCCATGCCCCTTGGCACCATCCGGACACAGCAGAGGTCTGAGCTCACCTGCACTGAGGCATCTCCAAAGTCAGCCCCATCGATGCAGCTTTGAAGGATGGGAGCGGATCACCACGGGCTTAAAAGCCAGCCTGCCAGAGAAAGCCATGTCAGGAAGGCAGCACAAAATGGAAATGAACCTGTTTAAGGACACAAACCACAGAGCTCAGCAGTCGCTGGGCAGCTGGGAGGATGTAGGGGTGGTAAAACAGGGATGGAGAGGCTGTGGTAACAGCTTTCCAGCGGCTTGGGCTTTGTTGTTGGTTGTCCTGAGTTTTTTCCAGCCAAACCCTTGTGCTTAAAGTACTTTGGATGTTTGTGCCCAGGTGTTATTGTTATTTCACTATGGTTTTATCATCATCTAATAAAGAGTGGGATTCCTTTTGGCTTCCTTGGCTCCTGCCTTTCTGCATGCAGCGCTTCCTAAATGTGAGGACAACCAAGGGGTACCAGGACCAGAAGCTGCAGCCCAGTCCTGCAAAGACTCGCACAGCTTCAGGCACGCGAGCCTTTCGGTAAGCAGGGGTTAAGCAGCAGCAGAAACATCTTTGGAGCTTTATCTGACTGCTCAGGGAGCTGCAGCCCCCACACCGAAGGAGAGCAGCATGGAAAAGGCTGGCTGCGAGCGGTGCCCACCCATGGAGCTGAAAAAAGGGGTCAGGGCTAGCATCGCCCTGCGATGCTCTGCAGGCAGGAGGAGAAGCAGCAGCACTGCTGCGGTCCTGCAGGGGGAAGAGAGGGGAACGGGCTTGGAGTGTTTCACTCCGTGGGCAGGATTAGCAGGGCTAAAGCAACCTCCCAAGTAACTATTGCCTCAGAGAAAACAAGTCTTAGGCAGCATCACAGCAGCCTGGGGGAGTTCTTTCTCACCCCAGCACCACCAAGTAGCAGGGTGAGTCCCACCACCTTAATCCAGCCTGAACTAAGCCCCATGCAGGCTAACAGGAGTAGATCCCAGAGCAGAAAGGCCTTCAGGGAACGTATCCTTTTCCCACAATGGCTTGCAACTACTTGCTTGAAAGATGTCTTTTTTTTTTAAAAAAAAAAAAAAAAAAAAAAAAGCTGAATTCCAGTATATTCCATTACACCATATAGTTTCAGATTAAGGCTCCCAAATATGCCTTTAATTTAAGCTTAATAAAGCTGTTATTGTCCAGTCATTAATGACTGCTTATTAAAAACATATTTATTGCATCTGGTGCTGAGGGATCTCGCAGAGAGCCTCAGGCAACAATCCCTACCTCCACCCCGTAGCATTTAACGAGAGATACATGTGTATGGGGCTGCTAATTCTCAGCGAGCATGTTTCCAATAAGCACTTGTTCCTCAGCTGAGGTAGCGTGCATGCATACCTGTGTGTGCACAGACACACAACGGGATGCAAATGAAAGGCAGATTTAGGAGCCTTGTTTTGACAGCGTTAGCGGTTGCTTTGGGACAGGATGAAAACATGTTAATGTCTAAAACTATCAGAAGTCAGCTTTCTGCTGTATTAATAACTGCTTCAAAGACATTCGGTGGGGTGACGGTCAGGGCACCACAGTGGTGAGGATCCAGACCCACGGCACCCTGCTCAGCATCATTCCCTAATTACAGACACTGGGATGACAAAGTTGGGCTGGACCTACAATTAATTTTATCCTAGGAGGTTAACAGACTGAGATAAAAACTATCAAAATATGGGAAGAGTTTCTCTGCAAACACCAGGTCTTTCTCTTTGCAAAGACCAAGGATAAGGAAAAAATATTTATTTTTTTTTCCTAGGCAAGGAAATCCTTTTCCTTTGGTGAATTTTATGAATAGACTCACAGGTCGTGATAGACTTCTGCATCCTAGAATTGGAATTTTCAATTCCCTGTCCTTCGCCAGACAGCCTCAGCCTGGGAGTAGTCTGTAAAGACCGCAAAGTGCTGATTTTGGTACCATGGTGCCTATTACTCCAGTGTCGAGATCCTTAGCTGTACCACTGATAAGAAAAGTACACGGAGAAGAAGTGGGCGGTGGGGTTGTGAGAAACCTGCCAGGAATGCCAGCTCCTGTTGGCACCTGCCAGCAGCCCTGCCACCAGCTCATTTTGTGGGGAGGGTGTGTGTCCCTTCTGGGGACCATTTTCCCTACCAAATAAGATGCACAAGATGTTGACCCCACCTGCCCGCTTTGCCCACCTCCCCGCAGCCCCTGTGCCCCTTGGCCAAGTTTATTGGCTCTGCTCAACGAGTTTTGTTTTGGCTTTCACTATTAGGGGACGTTAAAAGAATTTGGGATCTGATTGTTGGGCATTCAAAGATGCTCCCTGCCTCTTTCCTTCCTGTTTTTCCTTTGAAGCAGCGTAGCGAGAGGTTGGGGATATGTGGGGAAACGCTGCCAGAAAAGCTCTGACGACCCACTTTGGAGACAGGGTTTAAACACTCAGTTGTCCCTTGTAAACCAGGCCCTGCATGAGATTTTTCCCAAAGCTTTCAGTCCCCTCTCCTTGCCCCCACCCCTCCTGCTTTGCTCACGCTGCAAGTATGCGGAGAAAAAAAGACTTTGGTACAAGAAGGTCCTTTTGTGCTGCGGGAGAAAGGGGGCACAAGGAAGAATAAAACAACCCAGGCCACAAAAAGGCAGCGAGGGAAGACCGGTGTTGTCTGGGCCATCCTTTCCTTTCCTGGAGGGCTTTGAGCTCCTTGTCGGAGGGAGGCAGCTCCCTCTCCCAGACACGGGACCCCCAGACTGCAGCACAACCCCAGCCAAAAGCCTGTGTGCTCTCCATGGCGGCATCGTCACTGCTGAGACCTGTAAGTGGAAGTGACAGCACGGGGGGTTTCTGCTCGGATCGCTTTCCTACAGCCTCTGCTCCGGGGGGTTCGAATAATGTCTGAAGGTTCAAGGTCAGGATTTACAAAAGGAGCAGTCCTTGGTGGGCAGTGCTGAGGCTGAGATGGAGCAGGAAAGGGGAAGTCCCATGCCATGTGGGGGGAGATTGCTTCTCCCTTGGAAGCAGGGATGCTTCGTTGGTGGTAACGGGGTGGGACCTTGCTTGTTTGAGCTGGAGGTGGGACCCATCCTGCTCACCGAGGTGCTTGGTGCACATGGGGAGGAGGGAGGAGACACCAGCCCTACAGGACCTGACGTGGCCCGAACCCTTTGGAAAATCTCATTCGAAATGCTGAGCACTTTCTGGCTTGGAGCGGGATAAAAAAAGAATTTGCTCTGTTGCGGCCAGAGTGGATGTGTCAGCACCGCAAGTCTCCAGGGCGAAGGATTCCTGGCTCCGGCTGGGACAGGCTCCTGGTGCAGAAGAGAGGGTCTCGGAAACGCATGTCCCTGCTACCCAGATGTGTGTTCTCCGCACACATTTGGGAGAAGCAGCTCTAGAGCTAATCCAGGCGTGCTGGGGAGCCTGCGGTCACCTCCCCACCGTGCCGGCGATGGAGCGAGGGGAGGGCGCAGGCGGCTCCCCCAGCAGCAGGTGCCTCCCCTGTGCCGGAGGCTGGCAGCACCAAGCATTGCTCACAGAGCAAACCGAGCACAGCCCCCGGCCCCTCGACCCCCCAGCGAGCTCAGGAAAAGCCCAGGCTGGGCGATGCTGCCCTGGGAGCCGTCCTGCTGTGTGGAGGCATTGCTGCTATCAAAGCGGGTGTGAGCCTCCACGCTGGGGTCTCGCCGTCCTCCTGGGCGCTTGCTGACGGCCGGGTGATGTACGAGCACCACGACTGCTGCTTTGCTGCCTCTCCAGCATGGCCCGGGCCCCGAGCCCAGGAGTTTCGCTCCTTGAGTTAATGGAAATATTATACACATGGAGCTGGCCCCGTCCCAGAGACACTCCTGTCTTACAGAGGGAGCTGCTCCTCGCTGCCCTGCAGATGGATGCAGTGGAGGGGATGGAGAGAAGGAGCCAAGACAGGCAGCGGGATGCTGTGAGGAGCCAGAGCCTGTCCTCCTCGTGCAGGCTGTGTCCCCAAGAGCAGCCCCTGCATCCCAGAAAGAGTTTCCAACACAGCTGGGCAAGGAGAACCACAGGGTTCACCCACCGCTTCAGGCAGGAGGTGCAAAAGCAGCAGGGACTGAGCTGTTCCCAGGTTATCCCGCACTGAGATGTCACCCTCCTAGTTAAGACCCCTAACATCCCACCCGTCCAAGCTCCGGGCAGTGCAACAAGCCAAAGGTAGAGATGAATGCTCAGAGAGGGATTTCTGCCATCAGAGCATCCCTGATAACTCACGTGCAAGGCGCTGGCCTCCCATCTCAGCGATCGAGTCCAAATCCGAGGAGGGTCTTGTTTTTATTAAAAATGTTTTACATCTTCTGCAACCGCTCTGCCAGCTGGACTGACTGCGCTTTCAGGGCAATTATATGCATCATCTAAACATCATCTAAAATGAAAGGACCTCATTTAATTAGGTTATTTAAATGACACGTTTGATGGAAAAAGCCAAGCAGACTTAACAGGATATTTAACGATCACGTTAGTTTGCATGCGTACAGAACATTATCTGAAAGTCCTCGGAAATTAATGGCAAGACTTCTGTTGACTTCAGAGGCTGCGGACCAGATGTCGGCAAAGGAACGACCGGAGGGATGATACGGGGAGCAGCCATGGCCACCGCCACCTGGGGAGCACGGGCACCGCTGGCTTGTGGGACATGTTGCCAAAGATGAATTTTCACTTGGGTCAAAATCCTGTGTTTTCCCCTCCCCTACAGAAATAGCACTTCTACCAGTTCCGCCAATTTGTGTTTTTTTCCTCCCTTTTCTCTTCATTTCCTCCTGTGTGGAAAACAAATCGGAAAGAGACTTTGAAAAGGGAAAACTCCTTTTCAGCAACATCAAACCTGAAAGCGTGCCTGTTGTTGAAAAATAAGAAATGTGGTATCTCGCACCAAAACAAACACGAGTTTGTTCAATAGTTCAATTCTTTCAACTCCCTACTTAAAAACCCAAGAAACCTAGACCAAAGGGCACGAATTTTTTTAAGCTTATTTTCAAAGTGTGAAAAAATACTCCTCATTTCCTTACCCTTTAAAAACCATGCCCAGCAGGTATTAAACATGCCCAACCAGGGCACCCGCTGATGGCAAGGCACAACCTCAGGAGGCACGCTGATGAGCGCAGCATTAAAAATAACTTTGCCTAGCCGAGCTGTATTTAACCTTTTCAGATGCTATTAAATGAAATTCTGCTGGAACATGGCTAGCCTAAACAATTTCTCTTTCTGCATATGCAAACGCAATCAGTGCTGTTAAGTTAGGAGCCAATTCTTGGATGCCATATTCAATATTATCCTGCTGGAACACAGAACAGCAACAGAGATACAAAGAAAAGAGAAAATGCAGAGAGTTGTCATGTATGCCAACTTGAGGAAGGTAGGAAAGACATCTGTAATACTTAAAAGGGAAATTGTTGGAAATTTTTCAGATTTCTCGAGCGGCGTATTTTAACTTTTTCCTTGCGGATGCTGCTTCTAACAATTCCCAGTTTCTCACGGCGAACAAGTAACCACCCTTTCATCTTTTTCCCAGATGCAACCCAAAGCTACTGCCATCAGTAAGGCAGTGCCTGGATGTCCCGGTGCTGGACCAAGCCCCTCGCTGTGGGGCAGAAGGGATCAGACACCCCGTGATACTCCTGTGGGGCAGCTCCTTGGCTTCTCCCTCGACCCCTTCCAGCCCCACAGGGCAGCCAAAAAATGTCAGCAAGTGAGTCACCGGCAATGGAAAGACTTGTGCCGCTAAGCCCAGCTCCTGGCCCTGGCTCCTGCAAGTGACACAAGCATTTTGGCTCTTGGCCCTCCCTCTCTTTACTCCACAGATCCACAGCCCCTGCCCCTTCCCCGTGGAGGTGTCCCGTAATGTCACACACTGCCCATCCCCTCTCCCTGGCTGCCCCAGGACACAGCAGGCTGCAGGGCCAAAGGAAAGCAGAGGTGGCCCGTGAAGCTGCAGGAGATGGTCTTAAATCCTGACACCTCTTGGGGCATGAACAGCTCAGCAGGGAGGGAGAGAAGCGAGTGAAGGAAAAGCGGTGAAAGGCTCAGGCGTGTCGGGAAGGCAGCGTAACGCCAGCTGCGGGGCTGCCCCTTACAATAGGTGCAAAAGACGGGAGCTGGAGGCAGCTGAGAGCAAGTGGAATGGGAAATATTACAAATATTACATGCCTCGTTAGTAGTAGGCAGGCCCTGCAGGCAGGGAGGGGTGCGGGCACCGTGCAGAGGATGCCCAGGGCTGGGGCACGTGTCAACCCCTGAGGCTGCCCCGAGATTTGGCACGGGGCACAGCAGCAGGGTGACACACACCTTGTGTGAAGGCACTTCGACCCGGATACCTACCAGTGCATCCTTTACAAAGGAAACCAGCACAGTTTTTGCATGCAGACCTGGTGGGATGTTTCTGAAGAACACCACTACCCAGCATCACGCTGGCACGGTTCCTGAGGCTGACAACCCCCTCCCTGTTGAGACAACTCTTCCTGCTCTAACTCCACTTTGACTGCCTTTAACTTCCCAGTGCTGGCTCTTCCCAGCCCATCTGTGAAAGCTCAGCATGATCTCGAAGGCCTGTGCGCTTACATGCAGCAGAGGTTTAAGCAAGGGGAAAGGGCTTCCAGCAGATACGGGGGAGTTTTGCACTGTCCAAGCCCAGCAGAACCGCGGGGAACCTGTCCGTGGTCAGACCCTGCCCTGCAGCGCAGGCACTTCAGGAGGTCTGGAGAGGAAAACAGCTCTGGAAAAAAAAAAAAAAAAAAAAAAAGAGCCTCAGAAATTCACAGAGCTTGGCCTGGTACGTGGCTGTGCATTGGAGCTGGGTAAACGAAGATCTCGGGAAAAGCTTGGTTTGGCTCAAGCCAAAACAAATGTTTTCCAAAAAACGAATAAAGAAACCGAAAACCAGATCCACGAATAGCCTCTCTTCCCTGCTGTTTCCAAAACTGCACTTCTTTTGGTGAATTAACTTTTTGGACCTCCTACAATGAAACAGCCACTGCAGAATAAGAACAGAGGAACCGATAGGCCGTTCAAATAAACACTGTCCTTGTGTATATTTGAATCTTTCATCATGTACTAAATTTCTGTGTAGGGCTTTTATTTGTATTTGTAAACTTTCAGATAAAGGTACTGAAAGTTTACTTTTTTTTCTAACATCACACCAAACAACTAGGGAGCACAAATCCAGCACAGACCTGTTTACCTTTCCCCCGTATTTCTTACTTCTACATCCTCCTTCCCAAAAACAACAACAAAAAAGCAAACTGAGGAAATTGAACACAAACAATGCTGGGAGCCTGGTGCTGGCCTGGCCACAGGTCTGCAAAAAGTTCAGGGATTCGCTCATCAAATGCAGCCATAACACTCCAGAAATTACTCCAGGGCTGGCAACAGCAAGAGATTAATCATGTTTAATGACACTTCAGTCCGCGTCCCCCCCCAAATTAATGTAGGTCTTCACGAGCCATTTGGTTTCAAACTAGGTGAAGAGAACTGGCAACGATGACACACCACAAAAATGGGACTGCTGGGTTCAGCAACCCCAGGGCCACGGGGTGCTCGATTGCTATTTCCTCCCAGGGTGAGGAACGCCGGCAGCTTGGTGGGACGTGGCTCTGGCATGGAAATCACTAGAAGCTACTAAAGAGCGAGGAGAGAGGGAGAAGCATGGGCATCTTTCTTTGCCCCCCAGGATGCAACCTGAAAAGTCAGCCGGGCGATACACCATGAAGGAAGCACATCAGCATCTCAAATTCTTCATTCTGGCCTTCTCCAAAACACAGATGTTACTAAAAACACCCCAATAGCTGAACCAATTTGCAGTTCTATCTGTAAGCAGTGAAGTAGGTTCCTCGCATTTTTGTCCCAATAAACACCGACTGCGGGCAGCGAGGACTAAGCCTGAAAACTGGCCCAAAACGCGATGTGTGTGCAGACTTGTTTCAAGTGCTTCTCGGCACAGGGAAAGCGATTCCTACCACCCACACCTTGCCCAGGCTCCTGGCAGGCAGCTTCAGGGAAAAGCCACGGGGCACACCCACTGCATGGACTCCTTGAGCACGGGGGAAAGCTCCATCTCCTCCTGCCACCAACTCCTTCTCTGTTCAGTAATGGAACAAGCAAAACGAACACAGGGAAAAATAATAACCACATTCCTTCAAAAAAAGTCCTCAAAGAGTTTCCTTGTGAATTGTATGCACAGAAAATCATTTGTGTGGGCTCTTATTTTTATCAAAACCATCCCACTTCCTATGTCAATAAAGGGCCATTACCGGTTACATGATATTTCTGGCTTGTAACTTGATGTCTTGCCCATATTCCTTTGCACTGGAATCAAAAATGTCTTGTCTGTGAAGTGCGGGTCAAATAATCTGGGTTTTACAGTTGTTGGCAGCTCAGGAGTTGTTTTTTTTCTTCCCCTTCGCTTTCTCAACCCAGTCAACACCTCTACCCTCGGTTCTCCCCTCTCCCCAGGGAGGATTCCCCCAGGGAAGACATGGGCCCAGCACTTGAGTCCCCAGGGAGAGCCACGGGCAAAGAAACCCATACAGCCTTTGTGGGGCTGTCAGTAGGGGACATGACCAGGGACTTGCCACAGTTCCCCGAGGGCTCAGGTGGGCTGAGGTCGGGGCCTGATCCTGCTTTAGGAGGCAACTGCCTTCCCCTGGCTACACGAAGCAGCAGATTCCCCTAAGTGATGGGGTTATGCTAGCAGGGGGAAAAACGAGACGAGAAGCAGATGCCCGGCTGCAGCCCTGTGCTGGGGTCAGTTCTCTGACCTCTTCAGTCCTGCGACAGCTTCAGATGTCGCTGCTGAGCCCAGACATCAGCTCTGCACTAGCAGAGCCTTGCTGGCCTGCAGCTACAACCGGGGCTTTGTCAGGTTTTATTAATTGTGCTGTGTAACTACCTCCGCACCGACATCTCTTTCTAGCGGTTTCTTGGTCTCTGGTGGCTTCGGGAGCTGCTGATATTGCATCTCTCGAGCTACGTGATAGCAGGATATATCCGATCCTCCTCAGTGCCTTTCTGTCCTTTTCCTGCTGACTGCGGTCCCTCCCATCGCCTTTGTAATTCTTTACCTCTGTGCATCAGCAGCTCAGAGGCTTCCTCCGACTTTCAACCCAAGCCAAAGTTGTCCTTGTCCAGCTGGGTCTTCCATCAGCTTTATTACGGCTTCACGTCTGTCTCACTCCTGCGCACAGGGACGAGGCAGATGCTTCGCTGGGCGGCTGCGCTCGGGCTCCAGGCTCCTCTCCTCAGCTGAGGAAGCACCACGAGCAGCACCGGGTTGTACATTTTTCCAGATTGTTTTGAATCTGGAGAAAAAAAAAAAAGCGCAGAGTGACTAGGATCCTCGCTTTGGTACCTCAGTTTACAGCTGAAAGGAGAAATCAGGGCCCTTGTGTTTATTTTGCAGCTCTCCAGGGTCTCTTGCTTTAAGTGAAAACAGATGAGCTGAACGCACTAACCTCAATGTTTCCCTGGGACACTGCCTCCAAACCCCGTGGAAGTCAACATCCTTGAAGGAACATCTGATTCCCCGAAAGGTGAGGTTATTCCTAATGAATCTCTCCAGGGGAGCAAGAAAAGGGAGGTGGATTTTGTTTGCACATGCAACTGAAAATCCTGGAGATGGCTTTTGGCTGGGCTACGCTAATAAATAAGGACTAATTTCTGAGAGCATAACTCATGCTGGTGGGAGATAAGAAAGGAATGCGAGTTCCCTCAGAGACCAGGCTAGGAGAGAGTTATCCTCTGAGATCAGAGCAGAAATCATCGAGCCAACAGCAGAGGCCAGTCACCAATAATAAATCCACCCTCGGCAGAGCAGACCCTGCTTCGGCAGGAGCGAGGCACCAGTCCCGCCCGGCAGGCAGCAGGGAAGCAGGAGGCATGCCAAGCACTCGTCCCGAAGCAAGAGCTTGGTGTTTGCAGCACAAGCTCCAGTTAAACAGCAGGCCGTTTATCTTGGTTATGAAGTGAATGCATTCCTCCAAGGTGAGGCAACGGGCTCCACGGAGCTGGTCCTCCCGGCGGTGGTTTTGGTGGCACTCCTCTTTGGGGAACCAGCAGGGAGGAGGGAATTGGGGCCAAGTGGTTTGAAGCTGGAGGGGCTGCCAAGGAGCCTGGTGCTTCTCCGCAGCCACAAGAAGTGTGAGCCTCCCTGGTTCACCCTGCTCTTGCAGTTTCTGCTCTGCCTGCATGTTTAACTGTTTATGTAGTAATGGAAGCTCAACCCGCACCTTGAGGGTGCACCACTGCTTGGAGACCCTCATACGTCCCCCTTTCAGGGGACCTGAAAGGTTGCATCATCCTTCACTCCCTACTTTCCAGCTTTTAGTTAAGGTTTAGGATGGATTCAAATTGTTGTCTACTTGGATTTAGAGATGTCAAACTACCTTTATCTCCTCGCTTCCAGCTTGCCCATACCACACCTATCGATGCTGTCCCCATACCTGCTTGTTCACTCAGAAACCCCTGCACGCTGCAAATTTTCCATCTTGCTCTGCCCTCCCTGCGCTGGCCACCTTGAGTCTCCCCTCTGATTTCCAGCAGAAGGAGGTTTTTTACCACTACCTGTCTTAAATGACACTGCAGCTCTGGCCTGCACTGGTTAGGTCAGCCCACCCCACTCCCTGATAACCAGGAGAGCCTCGAGGATGTGGCTAACCCATGTCCTGACTTGTATCCTATGTGCCCAGCACTCCCTCTAATGAAGATGACAGCTTTTAGCTGGGAATCCCAATGCAAATTCTCTGATCTGAAAAGCCTAAAGCTTTAGAAATTCTTAGCATGTGTGCCCTGACCCTATTGAACCTAATTTTTAAGAGAATTTAGATCTAATGCTAGCTACTGTCAAGCACCTGCCAATACAAAACTGCACCTAATTCATTGGCGTAACAAAAAAAAATCCCTTTTGCAGGATGTTTCACATTCCCAGCTCTTTTCCACAGCCCCCTGCTCCCATCTCTAGTGGGAGATGCACATCTCCCTCTCCTCGTCTGTTGCGACACTTTTTTGGCAGCCAAGCCCACGCTGCTGTGGGAGAAATCAGCTGACAGAGCTCCTAGCGCAGCCTGCTCCCTTCCTGCCTTTCAGAGACGCTCCCTGGTTTCACTCTTGCTGCTCTGTGCCTCGCAGTGTCATCACAGCCAGGTGACACCACGGCCAGGAATTATGAAATACCCTTCCCCGCAGGCCAGGCTGGGCATGGGGGCAGAGAAATGCATGTGATGTGGACAGAAATAAATGCAACCTGCTGCTGGTACCACCAGAAATCACGCTGGTTGTAGCAGAGCCTCCGCACCTGCAGCTCCCGATGCTCTCATCCAGCCTCGCTGTGTGCCATTTTGCTTTGGTCTCGCAGAGAACAGCTGGGTTTTGTCTCTTGTCTTCGCTGTCAAGTGCAGCCTGGACTAAAGGAGCCGCACAAAGCAGCAGCTTGGCAAAAGTGGAGGAGCTGGCTTGTCTCATCTGGTGCCTCCTTCTTGCTGCACAGGGAAGGTTTTTTTGTCTCCACTCTTCCTAGGATCCTGCTCAACATCTAATTAGGGCTTGCTGACGGGATGCTAAGGAACAGTCAGATGAATCCTTCGGGATTGTTACCTCCATGGTATTAAACTCACATGTTGGGATAGGCTCAAATCTTCATTTGCTTTGGAAAGCCTGGGGTCTGCAGGTCCTCTTGTATGCCCTGACTGTCCCTCTTGGATTAACACCTTCAGATAACCCAGACAAACCTTTTGAATGTTTTGGTACAAGCAGGCCAGGATCTCTGCTGCCTCACACAGCGTCACAGACCGCAGGATATGCAGAGGCAGTGTTAGGGGAGCATCAGATCTTCTGCCAGGTCAGAGACCCCTCACGTGGAAGATGTGCTCACAGGGAGAGGGAGGAACGGTGCCATCAGCAGTGCAACGGGCAGAGCAAACAGCATCCCCAGAAGAAAATCACTTTTCAGCAGAAGAGGCTACATAAAGGACAAGCCCAAGTTAGAGAGTAAATCCCTCAGTTTAAAAATTCACTGAGGGGGTGGAAAAGAGGAAGGAAAACAAGAAAGGCAGCAGTAGATTTTGTGTTTTTCAGTGGTAGAAAGAAAGGTGCTCTGGGCAGAGCAGCCTTGTGGCATGGCTGGGAAAGCTCGTGGCCGTGAGCCCAGGCTGGTGTACGAAGCAGCCGCTTTGGGGAAGGCACACCACAGACCTCTGAGGATGGGGAGCTGAAACCCAGCTCTTCCCACAGCTGGAAGAGGCTCTGCTTGTGCAAACCCATCTCCCTTTGGGAGGGAGGAACGATCGGCGCTTGAACTGTCAGCTCCGGATCAGAGCGTGATCCCGGAGAGCTCGCTGCACCTGCTCTGTATTTATAGACCACTAGTGGGAAAAAGTCAAGGCGATGGGACTGTGGAGAAAGCGGGGTGGGAAAATCTGATCTCAGCTATGCAACACCGCATTTTTCTACCAGCATATTAAATAAAACCTTCTATATTAAACCAAAGCCACATTGTTGAAATCCTAAGGGGCTAATCCAGTTTCCTCCCTAATCCTGCATCTCCCAACAGGCTCCCAGAGAGACGCGCTCCAAGGAAAAGATGTGAAAAAATTTCACGGCAATCTTTTCAGTCAATGCGTCTTAATTATAAAGGAAAGCTTCCTTGAAAGTGAGGGCTTTGGGGCTTTGGTGTGTTTTAAACATCAGAAAACATGATGTTGGAGGATAGTTATCAGGCGTGTTGCCTGAATTGGCAATAACAGGCACTTCTGCCCTATCAGGCACAATGAAACCTGCTTCTGGAGCAGGGAGGTGTATGCTAATGAAACTCACAGCACCTTAGAAGCTAAAAGATTGCGTTGCAGAACCAGCTTTGCTATTTACTGGCAACCAAACCCTCTACTGAATCTCTGTTTAACGCTAATTGCTGTTGGCTCACTGACATACTGGCAGGAACAGCTCAGCTCAGTTGCCCACACACTTGAGAAGCCCCCATCTTAGAGTGATGGCCTCTTTGTGGGATCTCAGCTCCCAGCAGCATCTCTCTACGGCCAGATTTTGGATGCTATCAGTCAACACATCTCATCTGAGAGGAAAATCACATGCATCTCTTCTTGTGAGGCCCAGCTAACAACGTAACAGAATAAGAGGAATAACCTCACACAAAGACAGGAGAAATTCTTTGGACAAGCATCACTTTCTAAGCACACCTTGGGCTCCTTGAGCAACCTTCCCAGCTTCAAATCCACCTTGTTAATTCCAGTGGGACTGTGCCAGCACCGCTGAGGACACAGCTTACCCATTACCTGGACCCCAAAGCCTCCCAAGTCACTTTTTCCAAGGCCCGTTTTCCCCATTCATCACCCCACCATAAAAAAAGGCAAACACCCAACATTAAAAACCTGCTGGGAACGCGCTGGGGTTTGAAGCAGCAAACACCAGCCAGTGTGACAGAGACATCACCTAATAGCTATGCAAAGAGCTCTATTTTTAAACCTTTGCCTTGGCTACCTATTAACTCCTTTTCTCCTGGGATGACGTGCAGAGATTCCTCTCAGTTTGCAGAAAGCAACAGGCCTGATTCCTGCCTTTTAACCTTTACGATTTGTTTTCATCTCCAGGAGGGAGAACTGCACCCCCTGGACTACATCGCAAGGCCCGGCTGTGTTGGTTTTGGACAGGTCCTGAGCTGTTTCATACTTCGCACTGGCACAGCCTTGTTATACCAGCTGCTTAATAACAACACACCTGTATGCAAGCTGGGGCTGGGGGCTGCAAAGTAACCAAGCAGCGGTCTTAATTACTGCAGGGTGACACAGTGATGCCGGCATGACCTCATGGTTTACTTTAGCCGGATGATCTGACGTGATGAAGGACACATGTTTTCTCAGCTGGCCACGGCCCCTCCAGGAGTACCAGGCCGACCCATGGGCTAAGCCTCTGGTCCGGAGATGGACACCTGTCTGCAGGAGTTAGGGCCGTTCACCCATCCTTAACCTAGCTGCATCTCTTCCCTGTTGATGTGTAATCAATTTTCCTCTTGGAAAGATTTATTGAAAGTGGTTCGGGGTTTGGTTTGGCTCTCCAAACTGATGAAAAGATTTTAATTCTCTCTTTGAGATCTGTGCCTCACTACAGCTGCCTAGAGTGGGCCAGGAAGCTACAAATGCAATGGCATCCACATATAAAGACTGGGAAAACATCTCTGCGGCAAGCTGAAGGCTTGCACAGGAAAGTATGAGACATTTACGTAATAATTATAACTCACACTCGCACAGAATCTTTCAGCATGGGATTAAAAAGCACTTTGCGAACATTATCGACCACAACTCTTCTACGAGGTAGGTATGATCCCCCTGTTCTCTACAGGAGAGGCCAAGGCAGAGAGGTGTTTTTCCAGCCCATATTTTCAGAAGTCAGCCTGCACATTTGGAGACCTTGAAGTCTGGATGCTAAAAAATGAAATTGCAAAAGCAGCTAAAGGCTCACACACCAAACAGCAGTGGCTGCTTTGAAAATAAGCGTATATGAGAAGCATTAGGACTAGAATTAGGACTAGAATCCACGAACTGCAATTATCAAAGCTTGGGTATAGCTACATTATTGCAGCATGTTTTGCTAGCTAGGAGAAACAACTTTTTTTTTTTTTTTTCAGTCTTGTTTTAAACAATCAGATCCACTGTGGGAGCACAGATCACCTCATCTCCATGTTTGAGTTCACCAACAAGATTAAGATCTTTGCTTTCCTTCCCAAAAAACTACCACTGAAGTGGAAGATACCAAGCTGCACTCGAGGCAAAGATTGGAATCATCCCACTTATCACACTCCAGATCATCTCCTCTTTTCTTCCCTTGCTGAGTGGACTTAAAAGAGTTTCTCTTGTGCCAGTTCTGAATGAGTCACATCAAATTGGGGACATTGTGTTGACCAAAGTGATCACAAAGGAGCTGTGAATGGGGGAGAAAGGAGTCACAACCAGGCTCTGGAGCCATCTACTAGAGCCATGCCATGGCACATGTGTTTTGAGAAGGTCTGATGCAGGCCATGAGGAAGGGGTGCTTATTTACAGACTGCTCACAGAAATCTTGAAAGATCACGGGAAATCCAACAGAAGTTTCAACACTTTATTGCCGAGAGGAAATGTGACCCAGAGGTTGCTGTAAGGGTTAATTCACTAGCCCTGCTCCTAATATAAACATGTACAGACCTCAATTATGCTACCCACATTTTAAAAAGACCATAAAACATATATTGCATTGGCAAGATAGTCAAATGCACCCCTGGGACTTGTGCTCTGAGCTCCTTAAAGAGGTTTTATTTGATTTTTAATTTTTTTTTTTAAGCTTATCCAACACATCTGCATTATTGTGAGGTATGTGCACAAGCTCTCGGAGATTAAAGAACTTCTATCTGCAAGTACTTTACATATATGAGTAGCTCACAGTGGACCAGAGGTATCGTTTTCAGAATACCTGAATATCTGTCATCCGTCTCCCGCTGACTGCCAGCGCAGCACAAGCTCCCGAGGCTGTGCTGAAATCCAAGCGTGGGCTCCCCAGCCACCGGGTGCTTTTGAAAACTTTGCTCTAGACCACTACAGTCTTGGAGTTTCAGCACAACTGCTCTTCAGGCATGCAAAGTAGCCTTAAAATGTTGCTGTAGTCAGAAAAGTAACTGTATAAAAATGACACCTCATTACCACAAACATCTGCCCTGCATGTTTCTGGTGAGTCATACCCACTCCGTTTACAGAGCAAAAACACAAACACATGTTTTTACTCCTCTGACCAACACGGTGCCAGTGTAACTCAGGAAGGACCCGTGAGGGTCTCTCTGCCCGGTGTGGTCATGGCAGAGCCGCCAGCTCCAGGGCCTGCGGGTGCCATGGCGGCTGCCTCCTTCCCCACACAACAGCCTTTGCTCTCACAGGCCGTAATTCCTCTCAGGGGGGTCCAAAGGGATCACCTGGAGCTCAGGAACAGGCTGAAAAAAGCTTTTTGTGATAATTAAATGCCCATGCCTCTTGGTACAATGTCAATATGCATTGTTGGCCTAGGCTTAGCGGCGCTGGTAGGGTGCCCGTGCTGTAGGCCGAGCACCCCGAGACCGAGAAGAGTCCTGCTTGGAGGGGCTCCTTTATAGCCATTTATTTGGTTGGGAAACTGAGGCACAAACCCATGCTGTGTAGAGGCCCTGTGTGACTAATGATGAGCTCCCAGCTCCATGTACAGCAGAGCTGGGTGGGGGTAAAATACCAAAATTAAACTCCACACAGCTGCTGCTGCCTGAGCCAAGGTGCGACCTCTTCCACTCAGGTGGATTAGAAGCAGCAGGAGCCCCATAACCCCAGCTGCCTGACAAAAGCGTGCTTTCCTGCACTGAGATGCAATGGAATAAGCAATTTGACACGTTCCCAAGTGGGGAAGTGCATGATTAATGGTATCAGAAACCAAAGCAAGTTCCCCATTCACAGCCCCAGCACCTCAGCAACTTCAAAGGGACTCTGGATAAAACACAGCAGCACAACCCAGAGCTTTTGTAACAAAACACCTACTTCAACCTTAATCTACACCACAGAGACAAAGGAGAGCAGACTTGGCAACACACATTGCAGCTCTCCCAGCTTCACCAAAGGCAAGGGAAACGGATGCTCAGATTTTAGCCAGATGAACCCAGGCTGTTCATAAACCTCTGTGCACCACAGAGGTGAGGGCTGGACCCAGACCTGCAGCAGCCAAGGCATTAAAGCTTGGGGCCTGGCAAAGATGCTTCAGCAATTTGCTCACTGATAGCACCCGCTCTGCAGGGTTACAACCAAGGACACAAGAGATCCTCAGCTCAAGATTGAACTGAGTAATATGAGATTATCCATCACTAATATGCATCCAAAGCATCTGCCTCGCTCTTAGGATAGTTTTGTCGTACAGTGCCAGGAACTACAACATCCTAGAAAAACTTTGGAAAGCTTAGAGAAATAAGCTTTGTTTCAAGAAAATCTTGGGACCTGCAAGACTTGACAAAACCAGCCCTGTCCAGCCACAAGCACATCCTCAAATGCCCTGCTGTAAACAGGTCCTGAAGTCAGAGACCAGCACTGCAGTGTTTTGTCACTGCTTAATGCATCAGGTCAGCTATTAGTTCTGTGCTAGAAAGGCAAAGCACCCCCCGTCCCTCAAAAACCCAGCACAAAAGCCCCCCTGAGTTCCCACCTTCCTGCTGCAATCAGACAGCACCTGCCAAAGGCCAACCCAGAGCTGGGACAAGGCAGTTTTTTCAGGCTGCAAAGGACAAAAGTTGAAACCCATGGAAGTTCGTTTGACCTACACTTTGTCACGCACTTCTCATTTTGACCCTTCTTGCATTTGTACCCCCCACCCCTTGCCATGGAGGGTGGTCACACAACCTCTGAGCTCTGATAGTATCCAGAGCCCACCCGAGATCATGCTTTGGCATCTACATGTGGTCTATTCCAGCCAAAAATGGCATGCAGGGCACAAGCTCTGATGAGGAAAAGCTGTTTCTCAACAAAGTGCAGTTACAGGACAACTGGTGAATCCTGCCAGGAAGAGTTTTTTTTTTTTCTTTTTCCTTCAAAACAGAACTAAACCAGAAAAATGTGTGATTTTTATTGCTGGTGAAAGGTGCTGGATTTGCACTCACAAAGGAAGCACAGGATTGTGAAATGAGCTGGGGAGAGCTGATTTTCCTATCTGATGAAGCTTTACAATATCCAGAATTTCTTCACATCTGAGTTCCTGTTCCCGTGATGTAGAACTTTTTTTTTTTCCCAGTTGATTTTATACTATCTTAGATAACAAAATTACGAGCTTCTGGCTATAAATCAGAATGTCTTAAGATTTGTCAAAAAAGCAAAGTACATATTTTACTATTTTAACATATTTTAATGTCAAAAATATACTTGTCAAATATATTTTCTATATATTCTTGCTATATTATTTTTTATATATTCCTACTGAGATTTTCAGTGGGAAATCATGTTTCCAACAGGAATTTTCACTGATTCTTCTAAGAAAGATTTAAGCAAAATCCATCTAGAAGAGGCTAACAACCAGAATGGTGACCAAGCCTTGGCAAGGGCTGGATCCTACTTTTATATTTGCAGATGAGTACCTGTGCTGAGGAATTACCTACCTACTCTTATGTTGTCTTCCCATTCTGATGGTGGGATGGCTTGTGGTTACTAGCCCACACTAAATAGCCACCTGGGTTTAATCCCCTCCCACCCTACTTTTAAAAGGGCATCAGCTAATAACTTGGTTTGGGCAAACAGGAAGGAGAAAGCAAACTTCAGCTCTGTGAGTAGTAGAGTACAGTGGTGACTGATAGGGAAGCAGAGCCAAGAACCTCTGGACCCAAATCCCCTTTAGCTGAAGCACCTGGGTCTGCAACAACAGCTTCACCTGACAGCCCTAACAGATTAGCATACACCCCTGTATTTGAACTTGCTCTTCCATCAGAGATGCAAAAGTGCATGTAAGCGAAAAGGAATCCTGTTCTGTGAGGGAGAAAAAAAATGTTCTTTGTGGCTATCATCCCAAATTCTGCAAGTCAGGGAAGCATCCCCATTGCAGGGTCTCTGGGGTCTCTTCTCTAACACCCCTTGTGTTTGGCAGCACATGAGCACAGACCAAGTGCAGGGATCTATGGTTTCAAAGCAAAAACACAAAGCTTGGGTTGCTTCACACCATCAATGTTCCTCCGTAATTTATCTTGGCCAGTGAAGAACTTGCGCTTTTGATTAATTTTGTTTAGGGAAGCAGCAGTGAATTCCAGCCCACAGCGCTCTGATGGGACACATGGATGAAAAGCATCACCACCGAGGACGCAAGCACTGCTAGGAAGTCTTCTTCAGAGAAGTCCCCAGAACTGTTGAACCCTTCCCAGAGCACAGCCACTCACACCAAATCTTTAGCATCGCCCAACAAAAAGCTGTGCTGCATGGAATAGGGCTGGGAAAAGAGTTTAGGCGGTGCCAGGATGCAATCGTTCCAAAGAATTCAGAAACCACAAAATAACTTCCCCAGTCATGTACAAAAACAATCGTTTTGGAAGAGCCTCCAGTGAGTACATATACTCATTTACACTCTGTTGTTATTATTATATGTGTTATTCTCCATTGGTGATGAAATCCATATGTCTGCTTTTCCCTTCGTTCTTTCTACATTACTATCTGAGGCTTTGATTTATTTCCTGGCTTTCTATATGGATTATTCAGAGCCATATAGGAGGGAAAACATGATCCTAGAGACCCAGAGACAAAATCGTAAGCAAAAACAAAGGGCAAAGAGATGACCGCAGTGCCAAGTATCACACATCTGTAGTGTCTCTCAACAAGGTGGGGGGGCAGGAAAAGCATGTAGCTGTTCTCCGAAATGAAACAGACAGGGATTTATTGCAAAAACTATGGTAAACTAAACTTATTGGGCAAGGGTTAAGAAACTAAGGACCCGATCTTATAAACACTAACGCACATACTTAACTTGGTTTCAACATCAAAGATGACTCACGTGAGTAAAGTTATAGAGCACGTGTTTGCAGGGCATGAGGGGTTAGCATTACAGTCATAAAAGTTTGAAAAGGCTGGGATAAAAAGCGCAAATAAGCAAGGATTAAAAATAACCAAAATAGAGATAGCTGGCAAGGAAATCTTGGCAGCTAAAATAATAATAGTAAAAACCCACATAAATTAAAACATTGTTAACATATATGTGAGGGATCCTCAATCTGTTTGTTTGCCAGACTGAGCAATGATACGGTCTTGCTGTTGGAACCTTTGTTCTTTATCATCCTTCTTGCTGCATGTCTAAAAATGGAGCACTGCCTCTGAGAAAACAGCTTTATTTGCTTAAATATTCTCACCCAAACACAACAGCCTGCAGAGCAGGATAACTGCAGGATCAGCACTGATGGTGAAGTCTTCCCAGTAAGACCTTATCTTTGCTGACGTAATGGAGCCCGATGCCAGCACATAGTCGGAGCAATAGGGTGTTCAAAATTATGACAATTTATCAGATTATATCAGATTAGCAAAAGCCAAGTGGATCACCAGTGCCATTCTTTATGCTTCAATGGTAGAGCACCTGCAAGTTCCCATCACTGATGAGGACCAAACATCAGCCCATCCCGGTTCAGAGCAGATGGAGCAAGCCTTGAGTGTTACTGCAGGTACCACAACACAGCCAGCCCCAGCAGCCACCTTACCCTTTGAGGGGAAAGTTCTCATCTTACTGAAAAGATCAGACAAAGAGCATGTTGCAGAAAGTTTATTCCTGTTTCAAAATGCACTTTTCAAATGGTAGGTTCCCACCTACTTCCAGACGGTTCTCCAACAGGGAAGAAAACTCCACTCCTCAGTGCTGGTGTCCAACTTCTGCCAGCCCAAAGTGAGAGCAGCACTTTGAGACACCAAGCTCGAGCTGGAAAAAGTTAGAGACAGCGAGAAAGCGAGGAAAAACCCACTTACCCACAAAACTTGCACGTTTCCTGTGGGAAAATTATAAATTATTTTTTTTGTGGAAGGCTGTCAAAAAGGGGATTTTTCCCATAACTTATTTTCTTTCATGGGAAATGCTGGAGTTGCAGCCAGCTCTATTCTGAAGCTCTTAGGTTTCTAGCATTAGGCTGGGAATATAATAAAAATAAGCTTCTTCTGGAAGAGTGCTGGTATTTCTAACTCCTAATAGAGCTGATTTTAGGACCAGCATGAACAGTGACCGGGAGTTTTAGAGAACCGTCAATGGGAGATACAGCAGCACAGATGAAGAATGTCAGGAGGAGCTTTGGAGCACGGTTTAGCTCCCGTTCCCTTCTCCAAGGGATTTCCTCTGTCATATTTCTCAGTGGTGTAAGGAGACAAATTATGAATTATTTTTGCAGGGATGAGAAAACTTTCATAGGTGCCTGTCATTCACGATCCGCTTAAAGCCTGGTCTATCAAACGTGGCTGAGCAGCCAACTCTGGTGTGACCACGGTGCCTCTTCAGCTCCCTATTTCTCTGCACGGCCCCCTTTGCTCAGCTATAAACACCTACCCCAAACCACTCAGCTGCAGCACATCCAAAATCCGACCTTGACACGAGTCCCTTCCGAAGGGAAGCAGTGGGAGCTGCTGACTTCCTTCTGGCTGCCGGCAGCGAGCCCTCTCCTGAATCCTTCTCCTGTTTTCCCCTTCCAGGTTCACGAGAGGTCCCACCTAGCCTGCAGCAGGCTGGGGGAGGTCTGCAGCTGACTCCTTTGAAGCAGATCTGCAGAACAGGCAGTGTCTGCTGTCACTGGGCATGAGCAATTGCAATATCTAGACCTTGCGCCTTGACCTTAAGCACTACCAAGGCTGCAAGTCCCATTTCAAACATTTAAGGCACCTAAAGCATGGTGCTCAGATAGCAGAGGACAGCATTTTCCACTGCTCCCACTGAAAATGAGCAGGATGCTACCAGAGCAGGACAACTGTAGTTTCTTGAAATTCAAGAAAAGTCACATCACTGTGCCAGGACCTTAACTGAATAACTTGTTCTGAGGTTCTTCCCCTCACGTGTTTCATTGGAAAAAGCCAGCAAAGATACATGTGGAGGAAAGCAACTCTGGCTACAAGAAGCAATTAGGGTTTGTTGAAGTCAAAGCCTTACTTTTTTCAATAGTTCAAATGACAATTCCACAGCCCTGTACTCCAGTAAAACCTTGGGCATATTTGCTACAGCAGTTGCTCTCAGATGGTCGATATCTCGGGACTAGATCAGCACAAACTATGTGCAACAAGGAATGTGGTGCATTTTTATCCCCAGCCTCTTCCAGCAACCATTAACTTCCTTCCTCTGCTCTTCAACTGTCTGGGTTTTCAGCGTTTGGTACCATATCCCATGCTCTGAATTGGCAGGAAGATTAAAGAAGTCTGCAGCTCTTGTCTTCACGAAGCATTGCAAAGGGATCATGTCATGGCTAATCCCTCCCCCCCCCCACCTATCAGTTACTATTACAAGAAAACTAAATCGCTTGGAACCAGGAAAGTCTTTTTTTTTTTTTTTTTTTTTTCATCTCGAGATTGTCTCCACTTACAATCTACAGCGTAACGTTAAACCTCGCTCTCCAGTAACGTCTGATCTCACCAGCGGACCGTGGCGGCGAGGAACCGTCCCAGCAGAGCCGCGGAAGTGCCTGCAGACAGAAACACAGGATCCAGACTTGGGCTCCGTGGGACAGGGAGACTACCTTGCGCCGTGATAAGACACAGCAGAAGGAAGAGAGAGCCTTGGGGATTTTCAAGAGCCGGTGAAGACTTGCAGCTGGATGCGAGGGAGTGCGAGGCTCGGTGGTGAGAGCTGAAGAGGGATTGCAGGAGAGCCCATCTCTCCCCTTGGAGATACCACCTGGGCCAACAAGCAGAAACCTGAGAGGGGCTGTGGTTAGAGAACTATGCTAGATAACAACGTCCTAGTGGCACGGAGACCTGGTCCCACCCTTGTCCAATTGCTTTCCCAGAAGCCTAACCTTTTATCCTTTTCTGGGCATTACTTATTTATTTATTTATTTTTAAATAAAGTTTGCTTGCCCCTCCCTGCAGGTAATTTGCGGCACTGCAGCTTTGTGCCTGCACACCCCCTTTGCAGCCATCCCAAAGGAAACCCTACAGCTCCCCTTTGCTTCTCTCACCACCACCGTGCAGCGATGCTTTGAGACACCCTGAGCATTACCAGTACTTACCGAGGGAAGGACCATGACCAGATACAAGGGTGGGGGAAACAGAGAAGCCGTTTGCCCTCCCTGCTGCAATGCAGGTTAGGAGCAGAGCACCAGGGCCCCACATCCCAGCCCTGTGGTCTGTCCAGCCTGGGAATACCAGTAATTCTGCCTGCTCCATGGCTTCTTGCCACTACTAAAAGTGATCATGCTTCAGGGCTGCGCTCGCTTCCCATAGATTAGCTGCCTCTGCACATTCCCAAACAAAGCATTACACTATGTGAAAAGAAGGCACGAGCCCTGCAAAGCCCATCCCGCTGGCTAAGACAGGAAATATCTCCCATCATCTCAGCTAATCCTCCACCAATACAATGAGAAATGATGTCCACCGGCCGCCAAAAGATTATTAAGTGGAGAACAAAAATACTGCACCGCCCATTGCAAGCGAGCCAAAGGTAATAAAGGGGAAATACAAACTGCAGCCAATGGCTGGAAGGAGGAGGGGGCCAGGAGAAGCAGCACAACAGCAGGCGACTCTCAGCAGAGCCCCGCTGCTGGAGGACAGGTGGCTCGAGGACATCTCAGCTTAACCCTGGCTCCCCAGGAGGCCACCCCATCCTTTTTGCTGCACCAGGGGATCCGTCGTGCTGGCAAATTAGGGTTATGTTTCTGTCAGCTTGACAAATACATGGGAGAAGGCAAGGGGGCTAAAAGACAAAGCGCTGATGTAAAACTGGGAGCAGACCAGCAGGTAAAGGTGCCAGAGAGGAGCCAAGCAAGCAGAAATGTCTCCCAGCAATGCATGCCCAGGTAACACCACACGTTTCACAGCCCCGTGCCAGCTTGACACCGACTTTTCTGTATGCTCAGCCTGAGGTTTGGCTGTGGGGAAGAACATAGAGATGATGGATTGAGCTTACAATGTACCTTGGGACCTGCCTGCAGGTCACAGAGCTGCTGGCAACGTCAGGCACCACCAGCAGGGTCCTCCCAGTGCACCCTACCACAGAAGCACCGTTCCCCCTTCTTATCAGCACATTAACGAACAGATTGGCTTTAGCTACATCAGATCCAGCTAGAACAGCCACTTGCAAACATTTTAACCACATCCAGCGAGCTGGTGCTTCTCGCATATTCCAGCATTAGGCTATGAAGAGCTCTGGGTTACCTGGGACAATCCTGCACAGCCCAGCTTTAGAAGCAGCAGTTGTGGTTAGGAGCGTGGCATTTGGATGCTCAGCACAAAAATCTCACAACATCTCCGTACTGCCCTTCT